TTTTTTTTTTTTTTTTTTTATAAATATGAAGACATGCATGCACCTAATGATCACATTTACTTTTGTTAGTATTATGATTGAGCTGGATAAATGTGTGTGTTACCTTTAAAGGGAAAAGAAAGGGTGAAGTTTTATATGAAGTTCTGATTTAGACTGGCAGTATTTTCTATGGGTTTTATCAGTTCAAGAACTCTGGTGATTGAATGGTAACAAGAAGGTTGTATCATACTTCTAAAAGTCACCTTTCTGGCCAATTCATTAACCTCTGACAATCTGGTGTGATGGGTCCAATTGCTTTGTTGGTCATTTCCATATACAACATATAATATAACATTCTTGTTTTTGTAATCTCCACTCTGTACAACACTAATAGTGTTGGGTCAAGGATATTTCTAATACCTGTGTTATTGGAAAGATTTGTAAACTCTACTTGCTAGCTAAATTAGTGGTGGGTTAATGTTGGCGAAATTAGGGATTTTTACAAATCATGGTCTATCCAAAGAGATTTAGGGTTAATATATGGTACCATAGATTTAAGGGTTTAACTGTCTCAATTTTGAGGATGAAATTATTTATTTACTTGAGAGGGTCTTGAAAAGGTGAACACAAGAAGAAATGAAATGGATATAGATCTAGGCTTCAAACTTGCTTTCTTCGGGCTTCATATCTAAGGACTAAAGGTTGCTTAATCCAACTTCAAGAAGAAAACATGATTGCTTGATTCTAAACTTGGCCTAATTGAAAGAACTTTCATGCATACATAGGAAATCCTAGCCATCCTAACCTACAAACACATGATGCTAATTGTCATCCTGCAGATCTTAGAGAGAACTTGGGAAGAGTTGCTTCTTTCCTTTTTCTTTTTTCATTTTTCTTCTGCCTGTTAAATATTCCTAGCTTTTCTTCCATTCTTCCAACGTTGATGTTAGCTTCTGTAGGTGGTTTAAATATTTCTGTATGTATAACATGATGTCTCTTATCTTAAGTGACAGTTTACAAATAGGAATTCAGAAAAGCCCATGAAGCATTAGCTCTTAATTATGTAGAACCCTTTCCATTTTTTTCAACTTTTGAGTTTGTAGCTTCTTAAAAATGGTTGTAATTGTTAGCTTCTCTCAAGTAAGATTCTTTGCTTGATTGACATTAATCAGTTAATGACATTTGACAGGACGATCTCCTGACCAGGAATCAGTAGGGTCTGGGACAAAACGATCCAGTATATCATCAGGGGGTCGGTCTCGTAATTGCAAGGAATTTCTATATAGATTTGTTGAGAGTGATACTTTTACAGCAAAACTTGAAGACTGGTTTGAATCAATATCAGAAAAGTCACTACGAAAAATGCCTGTCTTTGATGTACCTTTTGAGTTGGTAGAACTTCAAAAATTTGACTATGCATTAGAAGGGGTTCCATTTGAGCAGCTGATTCGGATGCCAAATGCTGTCTATGCTTCAACATCTGATGCTGTGGAGGCAACTGCATATCTTGCTATTGAAGATTTTTTACATGCAAGTGTGAAGGGCTTGTGGGAAGCTTTCTGGAGTCAGGATGAACCCATGCCTTTCTATGTTGCTTGTCTAAACAACTCAAACTTAAAATTTTACCAGGCTGAGAAGGCAATATCTAATGGAAAACTTGGGCATCTCTGTGCGACAGGTGTATTGCTTAAGAACCCCAGGCATTCACACGGAAAATGGGACCATATTCTGGAACTGGCTCTTTTAAGGCCTGATATCAGAAGCTTTGCTATGGAAAGTGATCAGCATCCTTCTTTATCAGTTCTAGGTGAGGCTCTTTTCTATGCTTTGCGCATACTCTTATCTAGGCGCTTAAGCAGATTAACATTTTCTCAGAGTTCAGATTCGGTCTTTGTTCTTCTTGTTGATTCTCAATATGGTGGGGTCGTAAAAGTTGAAGGAGATGTAAATAAATTAGATCTTGATGTGAATAATGTTTATGAGTGTGCTGCTGAGTGGATTAGAAAACATTGTAGGGTTGCAGTATCTCCTATTGATAGGATTTGGAACAAGCTTGGAAATGCAAATTGGGGAGATATTGGTGCTCTTCAAATACTTTTTGCAACCTTCCACAGTATTATACAATTTGCTGGGATGCCCAAGCATTCAATTGAGGATTTAGCTGCTGACCATAGTTCTCGTCTCCAAACTAGGAGAGTTGAGAGGCAATTGGGGGATACTGGAGAGAATGGAAGTGGTCTATTTAGGTTTCAGCAGCGCAGTGTTTCTCCTGAAATTGTTGAAGTTCAGGATGAATCCATCAAAATTGAGCCAGAGGCTGCAATGAAGTTGGAAGTAGGATCTGTACTGTCATTGGAGGATTCAAACTGGCAGAAAGGATATCAGATAAATGAAGTACTTAGTAATGGTGAACTGCCTTATTACAAAGCGTCACCGGTTGAAGACCCAGGAAAGTCCCTGTTTTTATATGTTGGATCCCATCCTTCTCAGCTGGAACCAGCATGGGAAGATATGAACTTATGGTATCAAGTGCAGAGACAGACTAAAATATTGACTATTATGAAACAGAAAGGTCTATCTAGCAAGTATCTGCCTCAGCTGAGTGCATCTGGAAGGATTGTTCACCCTGGTCATTGTCGGAGACCCAGCTCAGGTGGAAACTGTGATCATCCTTGGTGTGGCACTCCAATTCTTGTCACCAGTCCAGTTGGAGAAACAGTTGCTAATATGGTAAGCAAAGGCCGATTTGGCATAGATGAGGCTATTAGGTGTTGCCATGACTGCTTGTCTGCACTTTTTGCTGCCTCTTCAGTTGGCATTCGCCATGGAGATTTGAGGCCTGAGAATGTGATTTATGTGAGGTCTGGTGTGAGGCATCCTTATTTTGTCCTCATTGGTTGGGGACATGCCATTCTGGAAGATAGAGACCGCCCAGCAATGAATCTTCACTTCTCATCTACCTATGCTCTTCAGGAGGGAAAGTTATGCTCAGCGTCTGATGCAGAGAGTCTAGTTTACATGCTTTATTTTTCATGTGGAGGTGCTTTTCCTGAACTGGATTCGGTTGAAGGGGCACTACAGTGGAGGGAGACCTCTTGGTCTAGGAGATTGATTCAGCAGAAACTTGGTGATGTCTCTACTGTATTAAAAGCATTTGCTGATTATGTTGATAGTTTGTGTGGGACGCCTTATCCTATTGATTATGACATATGGTTAAGAAGGTTGAATAGAAATATTCAAGAGGAAGATCATGGGAAGGAAATCAGCACATCTCCTTAGATCTAATTCCAATGGTCAATCTTGGCAGAGATTAAACCATTAATTGCCTCAGTAATCATTGCTTGCTAACTGCAATATTTGGGTGGAAGTAGCTGTTACCTGAGGCCTGTTGTTTTTGACTCATTGGGCAATCTGGAATTTGTATCTCCAATTGGGATGGCACAATTCAAAGGTGATGGCAATTCAAAGGTGCAACAGTGGTTCTCATTGGATCCCAAGGAGCAACTTGATTTTGTAGTTAATTGTTTTTCTCTGTAATTGCTAGGCTATTCTGTTTTTTGAGAAATCTATGGGACTGGTGGTTTCTGGTTTGTGCAGAAGTGAGGTGCACCATTCATGCCTTTCCAGAACATTTTGCTCTTAGTATGCTTATGGATAGGATTCAATGGAAATTTCCTGGAGATGTTCAGGCGGTTCCCACATTCTGTAGAGGATCAGAAAGATGAATTCTTCAGCATTTCTGATATGTTAATATGTGTTGTCTCTAGTTTGTTCATTCCTTTGTAAAGATAGGAGCCATGTCAGACCATTTATAGCTTGGCTTCTGGAGATTGGTCTGGAATGGTGGAAGGCAACCAGGTAAGCACTCCATTCTCAATGGGGGTTGTAAGGCTGTGTATCTGCAGTATCTCCTCTTCTTCAGTAGATAAAGTCTGTATCCTCATAATTTTGTTGTCTTTCCTATAGTAAATGATTATCAAATTTGTTGACCGAACCATTGAAGGACTTCTTTTAAGCAGCACTGAGTTACATACGGACGGAGAATGATAGAGTGGGAAGGGGTATAGCTGGTTTTATTATTTGTATCTATTATTATCCTGTTGAACAGGTTTTTAAACTTAAGAGTAATGAAATTTTCTCTTCAATACGAGATTTTCAAGTTATTCAGAGAAAAAAATAGTGTTTTATTTTGCAATCTAAACTGCACCTAAACTGTGAAAATTCAATATTTTCAAGTTAAATAGTGTCTTATTTTGTAATTTAAATTACACCTAATTGTGAAACATAAACTATTAAA